CCCCCCGCCGCTGCAGGGCTGAGCTCTCCCTCTAGCGAGGCTCCGGGCGCGCTGCCCCTCGCTGTGGTGTCCGGCCCTCTTCGCCAGGCGGTTCGCAGCCCGCCCCTCGCTGCCTCCGGACTTTACAAGCCGACACTGCGGCAAGGGAGGCGGCGCTCCGGGCGCCCGCTCGCACCCGGCAGAGTCGGGCTATTTGGACCCGCAGTCGCCAAAGTCTGGCTGCCGCCGCAGGATCGACCTCCCTGCGATCCCCAGGGCTGCCTCAGCTCCCGCCCCACCATCGCGCCAGCACCGCATCTGCCCCGGCAGGATCCTCCCCCCAGCCCTGGAGGGGTCTGCACCCACACACCTCTGCGGGTCACTGCCACAGCCCCGGGGACAGACTGCTTTAACTGCAGACCTCTGCCCAGCGAGAGTGTGGCACCTGCACACCTTCACCTCCCGCCCAAACAGGGTAATAACCTACTCACGGAGCCTCTGCCCCGCTGTGGGGGTGCCACCATGGGGTATCCTGCTGTGGAGGGGCAGGGAAGGGTCCCACACTGGGACTCTTGTTGTTCAGCCACTGCTCCCTCCCTTTCAACTAAGGCCAGGCACAAGGAGGAGGTGCAGGCACCTCAGCACCCGGGGAAGCCTTGCTGGCTCTGCACTTAGGCACACTCCCCACGTACAAGGTCAAGATAAAAGCGTGGTCTCGGACTATCACGTTCTGAGGGACACCAGAGCCTTGACGTGAGCTGTGAGGCTGCGTGAACCAAGGCCACCAGCTGTGGGGGACACGGCCTCTCCCTGGCAATGCAGAGGGAATCACTGTCTTGGCCATCCCTGACACCGAGAGAGATGGAAAGTCACAGCCTGCAGGGCCATCCCCAGCCCGGACCCCGATCCCAACCATTGCAACAATTAATGCCAAAGGTTTTTGGGGCACAAGGGGGATGGCTGCAGGGCAGCACACATAGGCCTAGACCCGCTGGCGTTCATCACCCATCACCCCTCCACCAAAGCCCTGCAGCCTGAGGTCACCTCTGCCAACCCTGAGAGCCAGTACAAAGCACAGCCTCCACTGCAGAACCCCCCATCCAGGGTCCCCAGTCCGTCTGAGCTGGTGGCAGTCGGTCTGTACTGCTTGTGACCGTGGGCAATGGCAAATGCCCTGCTCTGGCCCCACTGGCATGGGTGATGTTGCATTACAATGGCTGCAGGCTTCCTTAGGTCATTTCCCTAGCCATTTCCATTAAAGACCCCTTAGTGGGAGCATCACAAGGACACCCCCTGATTGAGAAGATCAGCTATGCCAGGCACCAGGAGCTGCTGATTCCAGCTTATGGGAACCTTTGAGCAACCAGCCCAGCCACTTCTTCCTCAAACTACTTGGGAAGCTTCAGCTTCATGTTTGGCTCCACTCAAGAGTCTGGAGAGTTGGTAGCTTGGGACTCTGTATGCATTTGTAACAGAAGGCAAGGTTGGCACTTATGGTGCTATGGAAAGCTCAGGCTTCGGGGTCCTCAGACCAGGGAATGCAGTGAGGGCTGCAGCTGGGTTTCCCCTGCGCTCCCCTGCCACCGAAGGAGAGGTACTTCTGCTTGTGAGGGCCGCAAGAAAAGACAAGAGGCTCAGCAAAGGTGGGCCTGGCAAAGATCCAGGGCAGTTTGGGAGGGTCACAACACCCCTCCAGGGCCTGTGCCGCAGCCCAGTGCTGCTCTGAAACCTGAGCTAGGAGGGGAGCACAGTGCTGCAGCATACTCAGCACTGTCGGCAAACTCTGTGCCCCACTGACTATGAATCGGTGAGGAAAAACCTCTGGTAAGCCACCTAATTGCTGTTCCTGCTGCCAGCTGTGTCTCTGCACCCTCACACCTCCCCGTGCCCCTGAGGCAGTGTTGCTGTGGTTCGATGGCACCCTGTGGACAGTAAGTCAGACACTGTCCTCTGGGTTTCTCCAGGGTGCTCTGTTTCAGTCCCTTGCCTTGGTAGAGGAATAGGAAGCCAGTTCTTCCTGCAGAGAACACTGATCATGGCTGGATACTGCCACCCTCCGCTGCCTCATGCCTCTCGTCCATCACCAGTTTAACTGCACAAACCCTTGCCTGGCGTCTGTGCCACCATGTCCCTGGCTTCTGTGTCCCCCAAAAAAGGAAGGCCAAACCCAGCGCCTCTCTGCCCCAAAATGCCCTTGGAGTGATCCAGGGACCACACAGCAGGTGTGATACCCCACTCTCTCTCTCTGCAGACACCAGAGAGGACACAGTTCAGATCCCCACCTGGCCATTCCAGGCTGAGCCTATGAGGATGGCACAGGCTGCAACCACAAGTGACATAGGTTTCATCTGGAAAAGACCAAACCCAAAATTTTGATGTGGAAAAGACCAAAGCCTAGAAAGTGGATGAGGTATTCAGGAGGCTCTGGCATTGCACAGAAGGTCACGGGGGAGAAAAACCTTGCAGGGAGGCAATGCAGACAGGAAGGCCAGTGCTGGCATGACTGAGACACCAAGTTCTCCAAGAGCCACCAGCTTTGCAGCTGAACCACTGGACCAGACATGACATCCAGAATGGACCTGACCACGCTCCAGATGACATACCCCGGAAAAAGGAAAAGACATGGCCTGCCAACCTGCCACATCACAAATGCCTCAGCCCAAGACCTTGCTGGAAGGGGGAGGAATGCAGGAAGGTAGTGTCTCAGCCTGGACATGGTCTCACATAGGGACACTCACATAGTTCACTCAGCCTGCTCCACCAGAGATCTCCCGAGGCATGGGGCAGCCATCCTGAGCCTGGGTGCAGGCAGGCTTGGAGCAACGTACAGGGAGCCTCTGGTGGATTGTGCTCATCTCTGCCCTCCATCTCCCAACATAAACAAGGATGAGGAGGTTCAGGAGACCAGGACAATATACAAGACCACGGGACTCTTGCCCTCAAGAAACAGAAGGCTGCTACTTGGATGGTGAGGGATGCAGCAGCATCAGGAAGTCCTGGCCTCCAGGAGAGAAAGGCTGTTGAATTTCTACTGGTACTTGACTTCTGACTGGCCTCTCCCCACAGATCCTGGACTGTCCTGCACAGGGAACCACCACAGGATTGAAGTCCTGTGACTCCCTGCTTGCTAGGCTGGAGGAAACCTCACAGCCCTCCAGCAGTAATAAAGCTGGCAAAGATGAAAAAGGAAATGTGTTCCCACTGACATGCCTACCACAGCACCATGGTGATCACTGGCCTGATCAGCCAGTTCACAGAAAACCCAGCACACCCAGTCCTGACCCTTCCCCTCTTCCCCAGCAACCCAGGTTAGGCTCTAGCTGCAAAACACACCACACAAGGTTAGACTCCACACTGATCCTTGGTGGCCCAGCTGGACAGCAAGCAACTTTGGTCACTCACCTCATGTTGGAGGCCAAGGGAGTACCAAAGCTGTCCTCTGAGTGGCAAGGGCTGTGCCGAGCACCCTTCCTTCGTCTCCCCCGCTCCTCCTCCCTCTCTGTCCAGGGGGCATCTGTGGCTGAACTGGTCCCAGAGTCCGGCTCCAAGTGAGCCAGAGGAGCAAAGTTCTCCTCGATCAGCTTGGCGCTGTCTCGGATCTGTCCCTGTATTTCTGGGGTGAGGGTTGGGAGGTCAAAAGTGAAAAAGGTCCCATGGGTGCGGGCTGGGGAAGAGAGGATATCAATGGAGTCCAGGCTGGTGTAAGATGTGCCTTTGGCTCGATGAGACTCCATGATGCTCTCAAAATGCTTGCTGAAAGAGTCCATGCCATCCTTGGAGAGGCTGTGCCCTAGGAGGAAGGGCACTGGAGACTTGAGCATACCCTGTGTGTCTCGGTCCATGATCCTAGAGGGAAAGAAAGAGAAGAACTAGTCACTGAGGAGCAAGGGATCGAAGCCCCCTAACAAAAGCCCATGCACTGCTCCAGAAGGAAACTGAGGAGGGCAGAAACATCCTCTGAACATCTATAGACCTCCAAAGAAACACCTCGCCTACCCAAGACATCATGGGAAGAGGGACTGGGCTGACCTCCCTCCAGACATATGCTTCTCCTTTAATGCGCCACAGACTTTTGTTCCTTTAGTGGCTCATCCTCATAAGAAGCTTATGAGATGGCTACTGTTCCTAGTTACTCCACTTGGGCTTAGATCCAATAAAGGGCTCAAGCACCAGAAGCAGGATGTGGTTCAGCTCCATTTCCAACCAAATCTGGAAGTGGCTGAATTTTCCATGAGCCTTCAGAGCTCCCTGCACCCAGACGGCTCCTCCTGAAGCTGCTCGGGACAGTGTGACACCTTCCTCCATGAAAGCAGCACAGTGGTCATTGAGCACCGTACTCAGACCATGATCAGCACCCCCCTTGCAAGGTCTGCTGGCTGGTCCCAAGGCAATGCTGAGTCCCAGGAGACATGGGATCCAGCACAAAGCAATGCTGAGCCCCTGGTTTCCCCAGGCAGTACGGAGGGAGCCTCACACTCAGCTCTGGGCTCAGGGACCTGAGTTGGCCCATGTCCTAGACGCCAGGCTTGGTCCTGGCTCATCATGTTGTCGGGGATCAGCCCTGCAGGAAGGCCCAGCCTGTCTCTGACACAGGTCTGTGTCCAGCTCAACACAGGAGTTTCCAAACCCTGAAGCCCTGAGTGTTTTGTCCTGTAAATAAGGTGAAGTGAGGCCTGCCCATCCATCTGAGCATGTGACAACAGACACATTTCCAACCCAGGGACATCAATGCTTCAGCCATACAAGCATAAATACCACCCTAAAAGCCTACTTTACTCATAAGCCACTATCACTTTATTAAAGCAGCAGAAAAGCACTGGTATGCCAGTCTTTCCTGTGATTAAAGGAGAGAACTGCTCCAGCTTGTCATAACATTTGTTATGAACAAACAGCTTCATACAGAGGGCTCAGAAGACGCGTTGCTGTTACAAGCACCAAATGATTTTCATTCATTAGCCTTCACATACCACTCAAAAATCTCACCATGATTACTTCATCAGGCCAAGAGCTGGCAGCTTGACTCCCCCAGAGCACCGGCTCACTTCAAGGGGAGCGCAGTGAAGCCAGATACAGGCAAGCAAGGCAGGGTGGAGGCTGCTCTCGCCCACCCACCAGCATTTCCCTGGCTGTGCAGCACCGCTCAATGCTCTTACCATTCCCGTAGAAGCCCCAGGAGCAGCCACCTCTAGGGTGGCTTTTTGGTGAGGACAAGGCAGAAGACATCTCTTTAACATCTGCAGATGAACTTTACAGATGCTAATGTGCATTCACTGTCCTTACCACCCAGCTGCGTGATACTAAACTGAGCTAATGCTGCTGACATCGTTTTGTGCCTTGAATCCGTAAGGAGGGCAATGGGCTGTGCTGGGGAGGACAACACCAGCAGACAGAAGGGACCTTATTCCCAGAAGAGGGAGCTGGGCTCATTCCTGTGATCAAGTATATTACCGCCAAGCCACAGAAAAAACACCGCTGGCTTTATCCACACCATCCAAGCTCTGGAAGCAATCACTCCACGCCAAAATATCAAGCACAAAGCAGTTCAGCTCCAGAAGGATTTAGTTGCAGCAGCACGGGTGCAATGCTGCATGCACACACTACTCCTGCTCGGGCTCCATCAACCTCTGCTGCGCTGCTCAGCCCCCGCCATGCCTTGCTCTGGCCCCCCAGGAAGGGTCACTGCACCATCACCAAGCCAGACAAATGCAGCTGCGAGGAGCAGAGGAGCGGAGCAGATGCAGAGGCTGTAATCGAGCATCTGTGCAAGGGTGACAGCCAGCGGGAAAGCAAGTAAGTTTCCAGCCTTAAGCTGGGGTGGGAGAGCCAGTGAGCCTTCCTTGGAAGGGGGCGAGGCAGGTACGGAGATGAAGCGGATCCCGGGAGCCGATGGCCATGATGCATTGCATGTTAGTGCCAAAGCCAGCGGCACTTGAGGTGAAGGTCTGCCTGTGGGGATTGTGGGGATCTGAGCAACTGGGCTTCAGGACCTGCATCTGATGGGTGATGGAGGGGAAGGGACTCGCCCCATTCTCCCCGCCTGGTGCTGCAGAGCCGTGCCAGCCCAGGTGAGGGGGAGAAGAGAGGAAAATCTCTCTCCTCGGGCCCTCAGCGGTTTTCTCTCTCTGCCAAATGTTCCTGTGACCCTCCTGGGGCTGACTGCCCCAGCCATGACCCACTCCTCCTGCCCGCACAGACACAGCAGGCGCTGTGTGGGGATCCCAGCTCAGCTTGAAAAAGGTAAGGCCATAGAGCACCACCCAGCAGCCCCTCACTTTATTCTACTCTGAACAAAACTCTGGTACAGACCAGCCTCAGCAGCTCCTTGCACTCCCCCCAGGCCCCTTTGCACATCTCCTCCAGCCTGGCAGTTGCCTGCTCTGAGGGCTCAGTGTTCTAAATCCCACCTGTGCTCAGCCACAGGTACTGACCATGGGCGCTGCAGTGTGTGCCCCCCCGGCTGCCCACACTCCCCTGACATGTCCATGCTGTCACACTGAGTTCACACTGCCCCCAGTCAACCCAACGAGCTGCAGATGCCCCCCGACC